TCAAGGAGCAGTTTTCGATCTCCCGGAAGAGATTGCGAAAGAGTTGCTGACTAAGGAACTTCCAGAGGGAAACGTGATCACCAAAATAACCAAGGTGATCTTTTTAATTTGGCTCTGGTTTCTGAAGGTTATAAGCATATGTTGATTACAATTATCCCAGTTACCTTTCAAAATTATAAGTTTAAAACTCAGGTTTAGCTTTTGTGATTATTCATTACGAACAATAATAGCATGCACATGCTGACACCTCCATCATATGGTTCTCATGTTATAAGAATTATGGATGTAACATTGACAATATCATCTTTTTTATGTACTATTTCTTATCTGATTTTTGCTGGCATTATATGTACAGCTGCCCCCGTTGCAAGATGATGGGCCTCCAAGTGATTTTTATGGTCGATTTTCAAACACCGATAGGAGAGGTGGTTCAAGAGACAGGAGAAGTTCTAGAAGTTCTCGAGATTGGCTGAAAAATGATGATGATGAAGAGGGTAGATTTAGAAGAGGTGGCAGCGGGGGCAGAACTGACAATAAATGGTCTAGGAACTCGAGAAGTAGTTCTGGCACTGATTGGCTGTTTGGGGATGATAAACGATCAAGCCGCTCCCCGTCTTATGGCAGCCGCTCCCCGTCTTATGGGAACCGATCCTCGTCTTATGGGAACCGATCCTCGTCTTATGGGAATCGATCCCCATCTTCTGGTGGCAGAGATAGGTATTATTTATATATTCCTTGATTTGAATTGTTTCTACCTCATTTGTCTGAAGCAAGACCACCCAACTGGACAACAATTGTGCGTGTCAAGATTGAACCTTTAAGTTACGAAATGCCCTTCAGATTTTGTTAAATAAGGATATGATCAGGTTTTTCGAAATAACTTTCAACCGTAATCAAATGTACATTGACATGCTTACACATTTCCAGCGATGTTTTTATAGCCCCGCCTATGAGATTCGAACATTTTGCCTGGTTTTACTACCATTAAAGACATGCATTTTTTCTGTCGTAAACCTGAATTTGACATGGGTTGTTGTCATGGTGCAGAGGCTTTGATGGAGCATGTTTCGTCTGTGGGAAGACTGGTCACAGAGCATCAGAATGTCCCAGCAAGAACGAGTATTAGTCTGGACTGCCCCCACTTAAATTATCCCGTCCTCTGTTGCTCGTAAAAGTTGAAAAGCCATAGCCAAACGTGCCCTTGGGTGTTGGTCTCTCTGAAGAATTGGAGTCGATGAAATGCACAGTGAAGAATTGCTAACCTTCTGACGAGTGGGGTGATTTTTGGTTATTGGAAGCTGGAATCCCATATGAAAATGATATGCATATAGGATAGGACTCGTTATTACTTTTTCCGTTGTGTGTTTTGGTGTATCATTAAGTACAAACAGATTCCTGGATTTTTCAATTTCAAACACTTGCCTAATGCTGTGCATCTTTCATTAGAATCTCCTAATCATTCATCCTCTCTCTTTCTCAACTGTGTTATGCTTTGGAAGCACAAGACACCTCCAGTCTGATAAATCAACACCACATTTCAGTTACAAATACATAAGTGATGGAGAATATATATGATTAAAATTATTATTATTATTAGTAGTAGTAGTAGTAGCAGCAGCAGCTTGAAAAAAAAGTTATATTTAGAGTTGGAGTCTTATTTAAAGATTCATTCTGCTTTGTATGGGAGGAATTGGAGAATGAATTAAAATTGTTCGTGGTCTTTCGGGAAAGTATTCCAAGTTCGCGAGAGTATCCCGTATTCTTCCCATTCGTTCACGCTTTCGCACATCAGTTGGTATCCAAAGACCGGGTACGTTCCACGATGCTGCCAAAGAGAGGAAACGCTAACGATCCTACCATCGACGATCGATTGCAACGGATGGACGATCAGATTCATGGTATGGATGATCGATTTAACGAACTTTCTACGGGGATAGAGGAATTACGGGTTACTATGAGTGCCATGATGTACGAGGTACGTACGAACCGCGAAGGGGCTGACCGGGGCCATCGCGGAGGGATGCGCGGAGGTCGTGGGGGTCGAGGTTATGGCGGGGCGCCCCGCCGACGAT